CTTCTTCCGCCCCCCCCTCCTCCTTTCATCCTTCTCCTCCTCTACCTCCTCCTCCTCCTCCTCCTCCCTCCCCGTCCTCTTCTTCCGCCCCCCCCTCCTCCTTTCATCCTTCTCCTCCTCTACCTCCTCCTCCTCCTCCTCCTCCCTCCCCGTCCTCTTCTTCCGCCCCCCCCTCCTCCTTTCATCCTTCTCCTCCTCTACCTCCTTCTCCTCCTCTTGCCGCTGCTGTCGTCATGATTTGCGATGGGCGGCGATCGTAAAGTTTTTGAAGAAAGCGAAAATAGCCCCGCGGGTGCAGCAGCAGCAGCAGATGTTACCATCACGTGCAGAACGCGAAGGAGAAGGCAACATCTGAGGGAAGAAGGAGTAAGTTCTTCTTACTCGTTGTCGTCTTCGTCGTCGTCGTTTTCTTCTTCTTTTTGTTCCTTCTTCTTGTTCTTCTTTTTTTCTTCTTCTTCTACTTCTTCTTCTTCTTTTTCTTCGTCTTCTTTTTCTTCACTTCTCTGCCTCCAGCCTTTCCATTCTTTCCATCCTCTTCCTCGTCGTTCTCTCCTTCTATTCCTCCCCAGCTGCTCCTTTCCACCCCTCTCCTCCTCATATTCCTCTACCTCCCTCCGTCAGACTTTCTCTGCCTCCAACTTGCCCCCTTCTTCCTCCACCCTCCTCCGTAAACCTGTCTCTCCCACTCACGCACCGGGAGGGAGGGATAGGGAGACGCAGGGAGGGGGAAGGGAGACGCAGGGAGGGCGAGGGAGGGGAATGCAGTAGAGGCATGCACGCTTCGCGTTTCCCCGTGCACGCTTCTTTCGGTCTCTCTCCCTCTCTGTCTCTCTCTCTTTCTCTCTCGCTCTCTCTCTCCCCCCTCTCTCTTTCCCTCCTTTCTCTCCCCTCTCTCTGTTTCACTCCCCCTCTCTCCCCCTCCCCCCACCCCTCTCTCTGTGTCTCTCCCCTCTCCCCCTCTCTCTGTCTCTCCTATCTGCCTCTCCCCCTCTCTCTCCCCTCCCCCTCTCTCTGTGTCTCTCCCCCCGGGGCCGTGAAACAGCCAATGAAGTAAGAGCGAGAGAAAATCGGCGACAACCGCCCGCAGCAGCAGCAGCAGCGGGGCTGCAGCTTTGATTTATATAATTCCGCCGCTATAAAACCTGCTGCCTGCGCACAGGCC